CCAGGTGGTCCAACATGTCTGCGCCCCAATCTAACGCCACACCACAGCTGCATACCTTCTTCACGGGTTTTTCGATAGCGGAGACAGGGGATTGGCTGAGGCCGCCTAGCTGAAATAGGTCTGCGCCCGTATATGTCTGCGCAGTAGAATACTCGAACTGTTGTAGGAAGAAGACTAGTGCAACAGAACAGGCTTTATTAACCGATCACAATCCAGAGCCACAAGTCAGGCGCCTTCCATCTGAATCCACCATATCGGCCACGCCGCTCATTAAATACTTCACCTCATGCCATTGGAACGCAGTGACTCAGGATTAGCTGAGGCCTGGTGGTCCAATATGTCTGCGCCCTGATCCGATATCACAGTAGAATACCCGAGCCCTAATAGGAAAAAGACTGGTACAGCAGAACACGCTTTATTAACCAATCAGAAGCCAGAGCCACACGTCAGGCGCCTTCCATCCGAGTCCGCCACGTTGACCACGCCGCTCACTACATACTGCACCTCATTCGTGTCCTTCTCGGGTTGGCTGCTTATCAACATCGCATGTCATTGGAACACAGAGAGACACAGGATTGTCTGAGACCAGGTGGTCCAACATGTCTGCGCCCTAACACGTCGCCACATCACACCATTTAGAATACCGGAGCCCTAATAGGAAAAAGACTAGTACAACTGAACAGGCTTTATTGACCAATCAGAAGCCAGAGCCACGCGTCAGGCGCCTTCCATCCGAGTCCACCACGCTGGCCACGCCGCTCATTATACACTGCATCTCATCCATATCCTTCTCTGGTTGGCTGCCTTCCTTTCCCGCATGCCATTGGATCGCAGAGAGACACGGGATTGGCTGAGGCCAGGTGGTCCAACATGTCTGCGCCCCGATCCGACGCCACACCACACCACAACCACACTACTAGTGTGAGACGTCAAGGGTACGAGCTCCTATGTCTTAGATTCTATTCTAATGTCTGCCTGATCCGCCGTGTGATAGCTTGGGTCTCGTTATTTTCTATTCACCATGTCTACTATTTTCCTAGACCAGTTTTCGGCTCGTGCGTCACAGCTCACAAATTTCAAGGGGATGTTTTTTCGCAATAGGGGGATGCAGCTTTGTGCACGCATGGTTAGGTCGTCCATTAGATGTAGGATGGTTGTTGAACCACGCCGTCTGCTTCGATCAGCTCAAAGTGTCAGGAGTATGCTTGGTTATACTTCCGCTTGCCGACATCTTGCAACTCGATCGAATTCAATTTGGATTACTAAAAAGGAACTGTCTTCTCTGCTGAATTCAAGTGACATATTAATCATCGACGTTAGAGAACCTAATGAAATTTTGGAAACTGGTATTATACCTGGGGCTTTTAATGTTCCATGTACGGTAAAATATTTGACGATAAATTAGTCTCTAAAATTAAGGAATCCTTGTCTTCGAATTCGACTCTATTTAGAGAGAGGTTTGGATTTAATCGAGAAGACCTCATATCCAAAAGGTTTGTTTTTGTTTGTAGAAGCGGAGTACAAAGCGCCAGGTCTGTGGAGATAGCAAAGGAACTGGGTTTTCACAAGTTAGTGTTGACATATTTCTGACTTCTCTAGTGTTCAATCTCTAGATGGTGGATACGAAGGATGGATTTCGCAAAACTCCTAGTACCACTTTTAGTTGCGCAGTTGATGCGTTCATTTACCTTGACCTCAGGAATTTGACGTACTCTTTATTGAAATTGAGATGGTAACTTATATGCAAAAATGCTAGGACTTGTTACATTTTTAAGGTTTTATATTCTGGCTTTTGGCCCGTGTGCATTATGCATATCCGCTAATCTGTAACTGCCTTGACATCTGCTTTCTACTGTTGTTATATAAATTACCCTCTTGCTGTAATCCGTTTTTTGGTAAACAAATAGGAGGGGAAGTGTCCATTTTATGAATGACAATGTCAGTTGTGGTACTTAATGCCTGTGAAGACAAGCCGCGTAATCCTCTCCATAATGTGCTTGACTCTTTGTAGAATACGTTACTAGGCCATTTTTTCGTAACGCACAATGCGGATTTGTATTCTAGGAAGCGTGTAGTTTCATGTGCTGTGTAATATGGTGGCAATTGTAGGACCTAAATTATCTTAGATCACTGTCTAGATTGGTGTCGATGTGGCTGGTAGCAAGCTGTGGTGCAGCCCTATTATTCGTTGATACCCGAAGAATGCAAATGCTAAGAGGTCCACCGTCTGCTCACCTGCTAGGCCTGTTGTGCGACTGGTGTTTGAGCGTGTTTGGAGACAAATCAAAGATAAGAGAGTCACTGAATTCACTTAACCCGCTTTCTCGTGCGTACGGCAAAGGCTCACTGGAAGTCAATATTCCGGTGTCGGAGCGCCGACTCTCAGTGTCAACAATGAGAACGAATGCGCATGGATTTACAAAGGTAGAAGTAGATATTCCGCCACACAATCAACTACTTGTGTTCGTTATGTTTCACCTCTGGAATGCCGTTGGTGACTGCATAAAATATCGCCAATGTGGTTATTTGTTTAAATTGGCTTAGGAGCTCTAGTGCTTTGGTTGACTTCCCCACATATTGAAGCCTTTGGGGTTAAACTAATTAACCGATATTTGAGTTACGTTGATGACTAACTTGTCAGATTGAATCAGATTGTTTATTGCGTGCATCCATCAGAAAATTGTCGTGGGAAGCGCCTCATCAGTTAACCCCTGTAAAACGTTGGCTAGAAGCGCCTCCACAAGTTGATTTAACTTTTCTCTGAGCAATCTGAGAGGTGATTCTGCAGTTGACGATGTCTTTGAATTGACTAAACCAGAATATCGATCGATTCATTTGAATCTTACCTCCTATGTATCGCATTTTTTTTCATGCACAATGATGCATTTTTCCAATTTAACGGTAACTTACATACTTCAACATATTCTGCTACTGCTAACAGATATTACTCCGGTTCAATTTCGCCTGGTTTTCCGTTTTAACAAATTGCGGTCAGTTACTAGGTAAAACTAATTTTGTTGCACTGTATTCGTATCTCTAAGCGAGGCTACCTCGATTTTTTTTGTCAAAATGACATTCAGCTCAGCAGTAGCTCTATTTGCGACCAGGCATATTCTAGCTTAGCAGATGACGTGATGTATGTGTTGCGTTATCACACCTCGGGGGCGCTGGTGTCATTTTAATCAAATTTATTATCAAACTCGGGAGTGAAAGGCGACTGCTTGCAACTCCACATTCGTCGCTAATACTTCAATCCAGAAACTTTGCTAATTTGTAAGGTTTTTCTATGTCGATTTTCATCCTGCGTTACAAATATCATATGTGCTAAATTTTGTCAAACTCATGATTGCCACACAATTGCTCAATTGATTTGTTGCTGTTCAAGTGGCCTTCGTCGTTCCGGTTACTTAAAATGTGGCAGTAGCAACAAGAATTCATTTTCTTTCTCTACTGGTTGACACTGCGATTGTCCCCGTGGTTTTCGCACTTTGTGGATCGAAAAAGTTTAACTTTTTTCACAGGCTGTTGGTTCATGTATCTTGATTAAAAAGACATCTTTTATTAAACTAATGGGTCGTGAGTTGCTCAAATCACCCATACTCGCTGATATATGGTTACCTAATTCTACATGCGGTTCCCAAATTCTGTTCACGGACAGTGATGCTAGATATGTTTTTTTAACCTTTTCGCACAACCGACTGAATTTGCAATCATGCAGATGTTGGGTTGCGCACCAATTGGACATAACTATAGCCTTCAATGCGTAAAAGTCGATTAGTCAGAATTTTGATCAGTAGTAACCCAGAAGCTGTAGAATTGAGCGATGTGCAGTCAATTTGGAATGGATATTATCGCCATTCACTATACTAGTGTACTTAATTAGCCTCCTGGCAAAATGCACATGTGATAATCCTTTACCATGGAGGTCGGTTTCACTGTTGTTATCGACATCAAAAAAAGGATGTTTTGTTTAGCTTGAATTTGTTGTGCTAGGTAATACAGCCATCCAGGAATCCGACGTCACTGTCTCGATTTCCAGCGCATCGGTGCGCCTGCACTTACACTCGATAACGCATGTCCGTTGTATTCACCTGCACGGCTGTCGTCTGGTTATGGAGGAAATTTATCAATTAACCTGGCCACAAGGTTACCTCAATCTTCACCAGAAGACGGTGTCGGAGTGCTGTTTGCAGGTATGGGCCGTTTATTGAACTGTACGCTGTGACTGGATACGGCACGAAGTGTCTGAGGAAGACGGAGACAACCGTCCCACCAGACATCTAAATCAAGTTGTGTCACGCCACTGTGCGTGAAATGTCGTGTCTGACAAGTCGGGGTTGTTGACCAATGCAGTCTGGATGAAATTATAAAGGCACAACTGGAATGACGAGCGGACGGTGTGTGCGCAGGGGCGCATGAACAGACGGGGACGTCGTGAGAGGAGGAGGAGGGGCATGGCGGCGTGTCCGTGCATGCGACGACCGAGTAAATGGAAGCGAGTTAAGTTGATACAATTTAACTACCTTTTCATCCAAGATGATTGCCCTCAACCCTCCAAGTGACCACGTTTCATCCCCTGTTGTGATAAGTTTAAAGGTGGAGTTGTTCTCTCGGTGTCATAGACATGGGAAGGACTCGCTGTGTCCATTTTCTTGGTCGCATTTTTCCTTGAAAGGCAAGTAAAGTGCATTGATAATTACATTCGGCCAATTTCGAGGTTTTCGAGATTGGTTTTCCGTGTTTGTGTGTAGGTTATTGACTAATGTGTCTTAATAAATGTGGCTTTTTATTACGATTCGCTTGAACCCTAGGTTATTAACTTAGTCTAGGTACGGTTCGTGTGTCAACCTACTACTCAGCATGCGGGCTTTGTCAACTCAGCTCTGTGTCACTCGTAGGGTTATACCCGCATTTACGGTCTCCAATTTTGTGCATTTTCCTGATCATTGTTGTTCGCCTAAAACAGTGCAAACGCAACTATGTGCTGAGAAAATGACTGACGTGTGCTATTGCCGCCACAATTTTCAGCTGGTTGTGTTTACGAAAGCCAGGTAATTGAATGACACAACGGAGTTCACGAACAAATTTGCTTTGGTATAGAGTTTCCTAATGCAACCGGCTTACTAGCGGGATGCACTTTTATTGTCAAGGTGACCTTTGCGCGACGAATTGTGATCAAGTGGATATCACACAGCTCCCGGATTGCTAAAAGTGGGTGATTAGGACCGACTAGTGATCAGCTAAATGTAGAAATGCCAAACTTTAAGCTTATGCAACATTTCATCAAGCTAATATATCCTTAAACCGAATGCTGCCAAACCTTTTGATTGTTAGACATGAGCCTTCTCTTGAAGCCAAAAGTGTGCTGCAGACCCCGGCCGCTAAGTGGAAACGGGCCCCTTCACACCACCCAGATACCCGAGACGACCAGGAATGGCAGAAGCGATCGTCTACTCGACAGCTCAACTTGGTTATGTTGTGTATGTGTGTGTTCGCGGTGGCGCATGCTTAATGTGGTTCTTAGTCTGTTGTGTGGGTGATCCAGTTACTGCAAAAACGCTGAATGGTCCGAGTAGGTCGACAAGTAGCAGAGGAGCAAGAATAGATGACGCTCCGTGGCTGGACTGAGGGGCAGCGAGTTGCAGATTCCAGGAACAGGATTAATGAAGGTGAATCAATGCGATTCACTACAAATGGTACTTCTGGTTTTCTTTTTTGGACAACTAGCTACTTTTGAAGAAAACGGCATGTTGGCTTTATAATGAATCAGCTCCAATATTCGAACTATCGGGTTAAATAGGCTTCCCTTCCAGAAAATCAATGTAGCGGCTTGGGGATTTCGAAGGCGTTTAAAATTTGGTCGAGGCCACGGTCATGCTAACTCTGTCTAGTAGTCAATATTAATTTTGAAAAAAAAATTCAAGTTTTAGTACGTCGACTTTCTCAGCTGTGAGCCTGATCATTTAATGGGGTTCGATAATGCTAGTTCTTGTTCGTAAGCTGGCAAACGACATTTTGGTGGATGATTGGCCTGTGAGTAATAAAACTCCAGATTTTGTGAATTCTGCAACGGAATTTGATTCGTGAATTAGTAAATTCAATGTCCAAAACATGACGTGAAGATTGTTATTATCGCCTCAAAGCCGTTAGAAGTAGTCGCTTCCTTTTACTTTCCACTTTTACGTTGAACAATTCGTTCATTCTTTGCCATTCGTTTGTGGGATTTTCGACTGCAAAAAAAAGGAGCCAAAGCATACAAAACCCCGATTCTAGTGAGTCATTTCGCTAACTAAGCCTTAATTTATGGTCGTCATGTTCAAGAAAACCCGTAATCATTCGAAGATTACTACCGTTTAATTGGCGCCGGCTGAATGTTTACAAGAATCACTTCGCAACTTATTTCGACTGGTGTCCAATGACGACTGCACGCACCACAGGAGGAAATCATTTCCGGTGTGAAAACATTGTCCATTTTGCACCCAGATTTCTTAGGTAGTTAAATGAAACTGCGCGACAATCTATGGTCACCAAAGCACATAAGCGCATCCTAAGGAAGAAAGTGGTGGGCTTGTTTAATATTCTCTCAATAAAAGTTTCAGTCGCTTCACTTTCTATCTCCAATTAGAAAAGTAAGCGTTGGCAAGCCACAAGATCTTCCATTCTTATGCTGTTCACGGATTTCTAACTTTATTTCGCACGTTTTGCCACTTGGTTGTGCATGTTCCCTTAATACGCAAAAGTTAACCAATTTAAGTTAGATTCACGTCTTTGTCGCTCAAGTAATTTTAACCCAGTGATAATCTCAGTTGAGCACCTTTGAACGCTAGTTTAAGCTACCAGTGGACTTGAGTTTGTGTTGACGTGACAAATTTTAAACCTATCGCAAATTACCTATTTTTCTTCTTAAACCATTATATCTGAGCAAATGCCTGTGATGTGTTTAATTATGGTTGGATGTCTAGTGAAGAGAAGATGTGTCTCCCAGCGCTTCAGAGTCTTTCCTCAGAGTAAAATTAGCCCAAAAATGATTTTAAAAATTTGCACCTTGGAGGGGTGCACCCACCAAGCCATGTGAACTGAACGGACCGACATTTACCAGTCAGGAAGGGCGTCGAGTGAGCAAAGTGATTCGTGAATCATTTGACTAGCATCGTGATACCTTCTCTGTCCATCGAATTCCCGGTTCATTGAAAAACCTCTTCTCGTAGACTTAAAATTTGCACGAGGAGGCGGTTGCCATGCCATCTGATGTTGCTACTCTCCTCTGTTTTGCCACAGTTGTGGTTCATGGTAGTGCTTCCTCCACGGGTGCGTTTCCAGAATTTTCCAATGTGTGTGTTTTGTTGGGTGACAAAGACCTTTTAAAAGTCATTGTTATTTTGTTTAACTAAGTTGATATCGTAGGTAATGTCCCTGCTTAACTATAATTAGCAAAAATTACCTATAATAGATGACTACAATGACTTGAAAAACAAGCAAATTTCACCTAACATTGCGAATAAAATTTTGTTTTAAACAAACCAAACGATTGGTGCCCACTTTTAAACAAAACCCCCGCCCATGTAATTGGGCTTGTTGACAGTTCTACTGTGACCACACCTGTGTGCACGCACGTTTTAGTTTACACAAACACGTCCACTTGGATTTTGAGTTTCTTACTGCGGACTTGGCAGCGGCCGTAGCTTTGATGAAACGCTGTTTTTATCGCCAACTGTAAAGCCGCCTAACTGAACCTTGTGCTGACTGTTCCGGTGCAGTCGACATGCCTGCTACGTAATAACTTTTGTCAGTTTACTAGTCTTTAGGCTGTCAGATTGACTGTGGGTAACTGACTGGTTGTTTAGTGTCTTGCACGAAATCAGATAACAGTTCGTATATTGGGAATGCGGTCATTCAGATTTTACCGTCTCTTCTGGGTCGGTTCAGCCGAATATGGAATCTCACCATACTAAGAAGATTCAAGTTGTAGGGCACCACATACTAGTCAATTGTTAACCTTAGTGGAAAACACTCTAAGCATTAAGGGATATCAATGAAAAGGCATCCTCCACATTCTCGTTGCCAATTGCGCCCCTCCTACATGACATAACCTTGTAAAATGCTAGCAGGTAAATAATATCCCTAGCGACATTTCTGTTATTCAATTACCGGTCGTCTGTTATTAGATGATGTTGATAACGTTCGGAACAGCCAACCGCCTATTTTTTTTCAGAAACACTCAAAAGCCATTTACTAACTAGCAAATGCTCAAGTTTTCATGGTATTCAACCCCACCTCTATGATCTTGCTAAAAATAATATATGCATATTATTTTCGGGCACTGCATACTGATTGTTTTATTGGCGTGAAATCTGATACTTTAACTCCAATAGTAATTTCTAACAACTATAACGTGGTTCCAAATAAAAAGGTGCATATTTTTAATCCAAACAATGGGCAAAAGGCCAGTGGGTTGCCTAATGGAACCTGAATTTATGAAATCACTCAAAATTTGGCGCTTTAAGAGGCGTGTGGATTCACAGGACGACTGTGGGTATTTAATTACCGCAGTGCCGTAACATTAGCCAATAAAATTGATGCTTTTTCACAAAAAATTGAGTCAGTGCCTGAACTTCCCCTTCAGACTGTGCTTCTTCAAAGTGAGTATTTTCAATTTAGTCTCCGCGAAGCTATGTGTAGTTTTAATCCCCATTTAAGCATAGGCCAAAATTTCATTGCTGCTGTGGCTTCTAGGTGTTCGAAAGGAACCAAGGAGGGGTAACGAATGGATAAATTCCTTAGGACCTGGTTACCTTCAGAATGAGTTCTACCTTTCAGAAATTCAACTGGTATTCTGAGGTGCAAATGGTAGTGTTTACAAGAGAACACGTGTTTCATCGGGTCATCCCCAGTTGACTTTTACGCATCGCTATTTTTGTGGGGTCATTAGGATCACTTAAGGCATGGGTTAAAACCACACATGCGTGTGCCCTCAAGTTATAACAATGAACAAAACTTCAATCGCGCGAAATTCGGGGAACGTTTTATTCCAAACTGAACAGACATTTCGTATTAAACATAATTCTGTTGAAGCTTGAAAAGTCGATGGCAAAAACCAAATTTAACGCAAGTGTAGACTCACCTTACAAATAAAAATCTCAGAATCTTTCAACAAAGCGCCACAGGGAATGGATGAAATCAAATCTTGCAAAGCAAGACAAAATAAAGTGATGTGGCTTTTTTAGAATTAAATGGGTTCAATTTCTTTTAACGTTGACATTAAATTCCCTTCAAAAATATTTATTTGGTTTCTAACCTTCTTTCATGCCTCTTAGGTGAGTTTACACCACGACATTTCACGGATTTTTTTTACCGACCAGAAAGTCTGCTGTCACGTTTTCCCTACTTCTCAAAAGGACCTTTGTCCTGCTAAAAGGAAAATCCATGCACAACATTGTTCAGCCAGCTTCCTGTACGGCCATCGTGCTTTTAGTGGCTCAGCCTACGTGAAGAGTTCTAACAGTTGTTATTGCCACTGCCTAACTATCCGCACTTGGCAACTCAGTGTTCTAGAACGGCCGGTCTCGGATAATCGTCATGGTAAAATAGGCCTAATTAACTGCTCAGCGAGAACCAGTAACCGTGGTCGCATCCCTTGCAGAGGTCCTGTGCACAACAATGGTAATGTGTGCTTGTGTGCACTTTAACGGTACGAGTAAACAATTTTAATTTAATTGCGATCGTTACAAAATGGTGTTTTCACACTCATTTACGTCTATTTAAAACAGGTACTTCCAGAATTCGAAGTTATACGACAGCGAACCATGAAGACAATGATAAATGTTAACTTCTGAGGTTTGGAGGGCGAGCGAGGGAATTATGCCACTTGGCATTTGGACACCAGATGGGGAAGACCGGAAAACGTCTTCTGATTTGTCAGCAAATATGTACATTTACCTTAATCGAGTTCGCTTCGAGTGATATATGCTTCTGTTTGCGTTATTATCTCCTAATAACTTGTCATTATTGTTCCTTTGGGTGCGCTGGGTAATTGGTGACATTATATCATGGCTAAGAAATATTGGCACACACTAAATTAGGAAGCCAATTACGAGCGACCATAATCTCTGTCCGTTTCTTTTTCTGTGAACAGAGGCATGGACATACCTAGTCCGGATAACCTGATGCGTTAAGGATGCTGCTTTGCTGATTTCATTTTTTTCAGGGAATCATTCCAAAACAAAGTATTAATGAGACGTCGTGCAAATCGACAGCTGGTGAAATGCGTGATTGGGCATTTGTCTTATAAAATCTAAAAAAAGCATTATATTGTTAAACCTCACCCGCAAGTAGACAAAATTCGGTCAAGCTCGTCAGGCAAGATCTTAAGCGTGATCCGCTTGGTTTTGACCAATCACTACGACGTGTAGGACCTTTAATATTGCGTCGACGCTGCCTCCTGTCGGCCTTATGAGAGGGCGAGTTTGACATTTTAAATCACCCCCTTGGCTTATACTTTGCATTGAATTAGCACACCGGGTTAGGTCAGAAGGCAGTTCGTCATGATCGTGTGTTTGACATTTTGCCTTTGATCGATACACTACGAGCCTTCATCACCAGTAGATCAAGATAGCCGTTGTCAAGGTACAACATAGTTGATCGAGGTCACAGAACCTTGGTTCGTCCGACACCCCGAAAGGTCGCTCTGATAAGTACACGTCCCAGAATACTAGAATCGCGAAATCCAAATAAGAAGTTTGGCTGGTTTCCGAAAAAAATTGACAATTCAAATGTTTACTTAAATCTGTAAAATTAGGAATATTTTATGTCAATTCGAATCTAAGAAGTGACATTTATTTAAAAAAAAAACGGAAGAACATCTTGCAGTTTCGCACCAGAGTTTGACTAGAGTGCAGCCCGATTGTGAAGCGCAATTTTTGTGTGAATTGTTCGTTTTTGCTTGCACATACGTGACCTCATAACCTGAAACCCGTACCCCGAGGTGAATCTGTTTTCATCAAAGAAGCGTGAGAAGTACCCGGATAATCACAATTCAGGACCAGAATTAAAGCAGGTCGGCAGCACACTGATTGACTTTGCAGGCCTGTATTGTCAGAATAATGCGCGGTTTTGTTCTACGGCAGGACAGTGGGTTGCCGCCAATAAAAAAGCACCTGACCGCTATGGATGGAGTTTTGTTTTGCAGATATAAACAGAGCTTGGACACCCAGATTTGGGCCAAGCAGCCGAAGGCAATTGGGCGCTTGGGTGCTGTGGCATTTCGGCCAGCGTCCGAACCAGAATCACACAAACCGTGGCCGCAGTTACTGTCCCGTGGGCGTGTCGACACTCCCACACATTCCTCCTACTTTATGACTTTTTCAAGCGCATTTTTAAGTACACAAACCCGAATCTAAACAAAGCAATGTGCATTAAGTCTGAATTCCTTTGCCGCCTTTCGCCGTCTTCGAACAAAAGACGCCAGTTTTAATTGCATCGAACTCACATAGAAACTTCAGACGTTGATGGGCAGTTTAAACTGCCTTGTGGACAGGATGGGTTGAAGAATGTGTTCGGGAGAAAAAATTGAACATGTTTTCGATGGCCGAGAACTGAAAATAACTGATGTTACAGAGCCCCAAAGGTGGGCGTTGGCCACTGATGCCTACGAGTTCTGAATTCAACCCCACCTAGGGCGTTTAAGGCACTCCCACAGGACAAAACAACTGCCTCGTCCCAGTACATGTGTTTACATCGGCTCTGTAATCTTTCTGTTATTCCACAATTTAGGCAGTTTTTTGCAAAACAAAGTTAAAAGAAGTTCCAACTTGTAAGCACTTGAGATGCTAATTCATTCTCGAAGCTTTTGTTAAAAAATTCTCTTCGATCGATTACTCTGGAGTTAGGTTTCCGTAAGTCACACCAGACAAGCAAACACTCGTACACAGAGAAAATACGAATTAACAGTTGGGGGGTATTTCTGGGCCAATCGCCGATTAATTGCGTTATGGCAACCACTATTTTATGTCCCAATTAGCTGAAAACACGACCAACCTGTCTGGGCAGGTGGTGGTTGTGGGGGTGGTGAGTTTGGCCAATGGTATTCTCGATTTCAGTGATATGTTGAGGGGGGGGTTAACATTTAGCTGACAACCCGTGGATAGGAGCCGGACATGACGACGTGGGTAGTGTGGTTGCCGTGCCGAATGGCTGTGCTAACAACTCCCTACCCCTAATGCCCCAGCTGACCTCACCACGATCACGTTCGTACGACTATAACGAAGGCAGCGTGGATGTTTTCGAGCCCTGGAGCTGAATGAATCACCTGGCAGAGAAAGGTAGCGGGAGTGTTTCCTGTTGCTGCAACATTTCCGTCGTCAGGACACTATTAAAACTCGATTGATATAGCTCCATTAAAAAGTCGGCCATTAAGACTTGCATGCTATTAATCAAGCTGGCAGATGCTATTGATCAGAAAAGGAAAGCAGTATGATTCAAGGCGGATTACTGGGAAATGGAGTCACCACACCTGTTGCGTTTGCTCTACTGTTTTTACGATTCACCAGGCAACTTTTGCATTTATTAAACTGCGATCCAGGATTGATGAACAACTCGCTGCTTCGACAACTTAATCGAGTGTATTTGTTGAAATCTACGCCTTAAGCTGTTCGTCGGATCTCATTGTAACTTTTTCTTCCCTTTGATGGATCCGTGCGTTAAAACGCGGATTGCGATTCATTACAAATACCATCAAAGCGGTAAAAATCATGTGAATGAGTAGAAACACTTAAATGGAATTATTTGATGCAAAAATCCATGGACAGATCATCAGCCAGATTAAGGTAGAAAATTGCTCATAAATGTCCTCCACCTGATTCCGTAAAATAAGTGGGCGGTCGGTGCGCATTCGAAGGCCGTCATTAAAGAATAAAGATGTGTCAAACACATAATTTTACTGTTCTTAGACGGGTTTTTTAGTGTTTGCTTGATCAAGCCAACAGCGAGAGCTTAAAGATGTTTGTGATGGTGTAGTAGTGTTGATGGAGTAGAATGCTCTACTCTTATTTAATTCGCTACATACCAACTTTCTCGCAGTCTTGGACACTCTTTTGCATTCAAAAGAAGTATTATACATAAAAGGATTACGGCTAAGAGTTAAATTTTTGCCTCTCTAGAAGTTCCCTTTATTTAGCTGGCATTCCCACTAACTTCTAATACCGTTGTTCTATTATTCGGACACTTTTGGAGTCAAAGTTGACGATGTAAGCACAAAATCTTGTAAATGTTGTTAGCAAGCACACAAGAAATCTCTACACACACGCTCATTAAAGCACACGAATCCCGACATCCGGCCAGCTGCATCTGTTGCTAGGCGATGAGAAAATTCCGTCCATCTGGAACCTCGGGCAAGGCAGGCTGGTCGGATTTCGGATTCGACCTAGCTCCGGTTGTTTTCGAATGCAGCCTGAATGATGAAGCATCGATTTTAAAAACTGCCTTTGGTAAATGGACCAGACATTTCCGTTAAACTTGCTCAAAATAAATTAGTTCGAAAATTTCCCTTGTCACCTTTTCCGTACCCGATATCTTCAGTGTTTAATTTCCTAACGCAGCACATGTCAGTAAAAATTATCCATCCCTCCGCACAATGTTCTCCATTAACTGATTTACTGAGGGAATATTCAAGGAAGTTCAAGTTAATTTTTCTTTATTTGAACTGAACAGCAGCAACAGATCTTTATAAATTGCATAAAACAGCCACTGTTGGGAGATTGATTTTCTGATAACGTGGAATTGTTGTTGACTTCCAGAGCTGTCGAGAGGTCAGATTTGTCCTACTAAGACAAACCGAGTTGGCCCATACGATTTTTATTGTTTTAACCCTTATTGCATAAGTTAAGATGTTTCAGCGTTCACACAATGGAAAGTACACATTTCATGAGTAAACCGAACGCTAATATCCAGAGCGTTTTCCAAATGAGCGCTAATTTTACCGAATTCCACTTCCTTCCTAAACGTACCCATGGAACTGGCTCCAACGAAATGACTGCAAAATGGGCACGATCAAATTGCAAACATTGCGAATGAAATTAAATCGGAGTGATTGGCGCTGACTCACGTCCATTAACCCGTCTGTCGTGTTCTCCGCCACATTGACCTCATTTTCACGGCGACCCTATCGATTATGCGAAACTGGCTGCTCACAAACCCCTGTGCGCGCACTTACCACACGCTACCACACGTTTCGTTCGCCTAGCCACCCACCAATTTGTACTATTACGGGTTCGCTCAAACTGTGTTGATCAATGAACCCCATTATCCAAGCACGACATTGCGCACCGCTGTCTGGCGTTCTAGGCTTTCGGCAAATCACGTGCGTTGCACGGCGTGAATTTGTACTTATGAGCTGACTACCGTCTCAGATGATTTAGCTGTGAGGGCAACGGTACCACACAAATCAACGGTTGTACGGTTCTACAGATAGCCAATCTCAGAAATCAGGTAAGAATTCACAACGATTTTTTCTTCGGAGGCGACATCACGTGACTGACCATCTTTGCTTAGCACTCAACTCATTCATGGTAGTAGTTTTAAAGACGGTTTAATGATTTTTGCCAAATGTTGACAATGCTTTGGAAAGATAGATAGATGCCTTTGATAGTTATCTCTCCTAATCTTGAACACCAATAAAACTGCAGCGTTTTTTTTGCAGACCTTGGGATGTTCAATCCCCAAATCAATAGTGATTCGATTCAGCTTTATGTTGTAATTATGGTTCACAAATATTCATCATCTTGGATTCAAACCGACGGCAGATAAAATCAGTAAGACGAATAATTTCAGATAAAATATTACTTATATTATTAAGACAACTAAAACACATTAAGCACTGATAATTTTAGTGGTCAAAGGGTCAATTCACAAATGTTACGGTGTGTGGGTGGTCGTAGTACTTGGATGCCAACTGCCCTTCGTAAATACTAAAATAGGAAGTAAATTACATGACAGAACACGGATGAGAGCATTGGTTCGCAACTGTTTATTGACAAAATACTTCTGAGAATGAGTTTGGTAAAAAAGTAATGCGAAATTTCATGCCGCTCAAGAACGCATTTAAATGCATGCAAATCAAAGACATCTTCTGTACGTATTTGAAACCTGGAAAACGTCAAATGTGTTATTTGAACACTCAAAGTCAGTTGAACTAAACGACGATTTCGTGGTACCCGGATATTTCCTGAGGTCGCTTCTTGAATTCTGCATCACCCTTTGTCCTAATGTGCTGAAGCGTTACGACTCGGGATGACC